AGATATTATATTTATTTATTTGAGTTTAATAAAAACTGTAGATAAAAAAAAATTTGATATTTTATAAAAATTTTTATATGGTCTAATACTTTTAGGTAAGGAGTGTATACCCAAGTATTTTATTAGGTATCTCATTTTCATTTCTTTCACCTTTAATCTCTCTTTCAGGATCTTTTCTAATTATCTTATTTTCTAATTGATCAAAATTAAAAATTAAATTATTTTCTGTACTATCTGTAGCATTTGAAATGCTACAACACTTGAATGAATATCTGATCATATTGATATCAATAGCATCCTAACCTTTTTTTACTCATCTTGCAATAAATGAGTAGAATGGTTTTTGATTTTTTCAGATAAGATGTGCTCCTTAATAGCTTTATACATCCAGTTATTATAAAGATTTCGTATTTAATTTAAAAAATTAAAAGGTAATTTAATAATGATTTTATTATTTAATTTGTTATATAAATTAATTACCTTTGATTTAAAAGATTTATTTAGTAATACATTAAGTAGTTGTAAACAAAATGTTAAGCTATCTAAAATAATAACTAAATCAGTCTTTTTTCATAAAATCGTTACTTTACTGTATCAGATTTATGTGCAGAAAAAGAATCTAATACTAAAAGGAACCTTGAATTTTTGCTTCAATTTGTATGTTTTGTCTAAATATTTTCTACTCACTAGAGTATCTCATTTTTGTTTATCCAACCTTTAGGATTAGTATAGATTATCACACTATCAAAAAACTCTTCACATAGAATTTTTTTAAGTTTAAAAATAATAACTAGTAGTAGTTTCATCCTATCAGTCATATAAGCTAAAATAACTGTAAAATTAGAACGTTTATGACTGGTTGTTAAAATAAAAATAGTTTTAGTATCAGCTTGCTCAATTGTTGAGTTACTTGATAGGTTGAACGCTATTGGCATTTTATCTATATTTTCCATTAAAGCTAGTGGATAATCATACTCCCTTTTACGATATAGAACATATGAAAGGAATTCATATTGTTGTTTTATAGTCAACTCTTGATATAGCGAACTCTTGATATAATGAATTTTTGAATAAATATAATAAAAATACTCTTGTTATAGCAAATTAGCCAATCAAATCTCTTAAAATCTTCACTATAGCTTTATAGCAAAGTTGAGGTCTAGGACATAGAGTTCGTTATAACAAGAGTTAACTGTATATAGTTTTCTGAAAGATGTTAAGCAACTGTAATTCTCCTTCTATTAACCAGTCTATGATAAGACATAAAGCTATCAACTCACTTTTGAAAAAATCTGACATTTTCTATATTTGGATATTCAGCTTGATATAATAGTATTTTAGCTAAAATTCGTGTTTTAATTTGAATCATATAACAAATTACTATTTTTAGTTAATTTTAGAACTCTTTAACCTATTCTATAATTTTATTTTCAAGATATAAATATTTCAGATATATATCTGTATTTAGTCTTTGAATGTAAAGAGTCATGTTTAAAAGCTTTTTTTATTTTTAATTTATTCACGAAGCTGTTTTAACTCAATATTATATTTTCTGCTGTTAACTGTTTACTGTGATCATTTTCATAATACATTATTATCATTAGCTTTTCTCACGCTGATCAGTATCTATTTTTTCTTTTTGTAATATAAGCATAACAAGCCTTAAAGTTTTTACAGACCATTTTTTTAAAAATATTATTTAAAAGATACTTAGAGATTTTTTTATGTAATAAAGAAAATTGTTAAAAAGTAAAATACAATAAAAAGATATAAAAAATTTTAATGCGTTTATGTAATCTATACATTGTTTCATTCAATATAAATAGCTAATAAAAATATTTATGTCTCTAAATATTGCCAAATCAGTTATTAATAAATGTGATATTATAGTAAAAAAGGCAATGTACAGATCTAGTAAAATATGAAATTAGTAAATTTAAATTATGGTAACATAAGGATAAACATAAAATTGATTTAAAAAATGAAAATTTTACATATTTTTATAATAATTTTATAACTTTATTATAATAAAAAAAAGGTTAAATACAATGTATTGATCTGGCAAATTTTATCATAAAATACAGTATCGGTAATTTAAAGTAAGAGAGTGTGAAATTATACTTATTAAAAAAAGAATCTTGAGATCAGAGATTAGACTAATCAGCTAACTTGATAATAAATAATAGTAGTAATACAATACTCCTGTGATAAAATACCCTATTACCTAATATACCTTATATTTTATAAAATACCTATAGATATAATTCAATTTTTAAATTGCTAAAATTAATATAGATTTAGGGTATTTTATGCAGTACTATATGGTAATAAGTAGGCAAATTTGCTTGCGAACCTCTACAGTTTGTTATACTTATTAATTATATTATAGTTAGTAAAGTATTTATATTTATCTATTTATTTATTTTATCTTTTATATTATATTTTATAGTATTATATTTTGTATAAATATTTTGTATTTTTCCTTAAGTTAAAAAGTAATTCAAAATAGGGTTTTAGAATAAACCAAGAGTTCAATAAAGAAATCTTTTAAATTCATTTATTATTATATTTTGTCATATTTTTATATAGGTATAATTATTATATTATTTTATATTTAATTTGACAGGTTAAATTAAAAGTTAATCGTTTAAGTTTATAGATACTAAAGATGGTTTCCATAATTATTTTTAAATTTTAATTGAGTTACAACTTAATGCGTCATAAGAAAATTTAATTACGCTACAAGTTGTAACTCAATTACGCTATTTTTTTAATTGCGATAACTATCTTTAATAGATATCAAGCTAATAATATATTCTAATAAGACTTTAAATAATATTAATATAATTCACAAATGATAATGCTATACAAATTTTTTTTATATAATAATACTACATAAACTTACATTTTAATTAAAAAAATAACTTTAAATATATAAATTTAAAATCTTAATTATATAAAATTAAATTTAAATAAATAAAATTAAATAAAATTAAATTTATTAAAATATTTTAAAATTTATTTTATAATTGATAATAAAAAAAATAAAGCAAAGTTTAAAATTAAAATAAAAGTTGAAAAATAAAATAATAAAAGTATAAAATTCAAAAAAATAGAACAAAAGATGAAAAATAAAAAAATGGAGAAGATTTTATTTTTAATTTTTTAACCTTTATTCTAATTTAAAACTTTACTCCATTTTTTTATTTTTTTCAATTTTTATTTTGATTTTTTATATTCTGCTTCATTTTTTTATTTTTTTTTAAATTTTATTCTAGTTTTTTGAATTCTACTTTATTATTTTTTTCAACCTCTATACTAATTTAATATTTAATTATTTTATCAATAAAAAATAATTAATTCTACATATCTCTAACTTTTAGTTTACATTTTAGTTAATATTTATATAAATGCAATTTATGAGTAATCTAAAATTAAACTAATATATGCAAACTCTATTTATTTGTTTAAAAAATATTTACATATAAATTTTATATAAATCCTTTTGTAAATTATATTAATATTATTTATAATTCTACTATTTCATGTATCAACTTCTTGTTTATATTAAATTTAAAAAGAACAGAATATAAGAAGATTCAAATAAAACTATTTAATAATAACTATAATAAATTATTTATCAGGCAAAAAATCATTATTAGATATTAATAAATTTTATTAAGTATTATTTATATTAATTTAAAACTAATTAATTATATATAGTACAATTTATATAATAAATTTTATTTATAATTATTTTTTTTCTTTTTTTCTTTTATTGTATTTAATTTGAAAGATAAAATTTCTTAGAAAAATCTCTTATTTTTTTATTTAATAGTTGCAAAGTCTTATTAAAATCATTAAATAACTACACAATTTAAATTAAATATTAATATAAAATTCAAATATAATAATATTATTATAATAAAAATGTAAAAATACCTTATTTTGTAATATATCATCTTTATTAATAATATTATATTCTATAGTTTCAAATAATCTTTACATAATTAAATTAAGAATTTTTTTTTCTTTGTTATTTTAAGATAGTTGCATATTCCAATTAATGAACTGTGACTTAAAATTACTAATACTTTAATTTCTTTATTTTTAATAAGTAGGATACTATATCATATAATATAATTATATCATATAATGGTATCCTATTTAAGGTAGATTATAGTATTACTATATAATCTAATTATTATATTATAATTTATTTATTATACTATAATTTATATCTATAATCTAATTACTACTTTATAATCTAATAATTATAGTCTGAATATCATTCTTTAACCTATCATTTTTTATTAGTTATCTTTTTTATATTCTGATTATTTTTTAAAACCTTTCTTATTATTCATGAGTAAATTATTATTTAGTTATGAATATCATCTTATAATTTATTTATCACTTACTCTTTAGTCTAATTATCATTCTTTCCTTCTTATTTCTAAATTATTTAGTTGTTAAGTTCTTTAGTAAAAATGTTAGTCTTCTATGTCAGCTTAGTTATTAATTAAGATATCTGAAGTATAATATATAAGTATTAGTAAATTTTAAGATTATTTTCCTTTACTAAAGTAATTTAGATTACTTTATATATAATCACATGATAAATTTTATAATAAAATCATCATATGATTAGATCATTTTAAAATCATTTTAAGGTTATTTACTAATACTATAATATATAGGTTATTTCTTTACTAATTTAGTTACTAGATAAAATATTAAGTATGTGATATAAGATTACTTTTTTGTGTTAGTTTAATTACTTGATAATATATTGAGAGTAACTTATCATGTGATATAAAAACTATTAACAATGATAATGATTAGCTACTAAAAATACTAAAAAAAATTATATCAGATAATACTAATTTGTAAGATTACAAGATACTAAAGTTATTTTTCTTTATATCAGTTTATGAACTAATTTTAATACTAAAATTATCATATATTTATCATATGATATTTTTAAATTTTCAGAAAACTCTTATAAATGATAGGTTTTTTAATTTGATTTATTGAATTTTTTACTACTTCAAAATATTATTATATCAATTACTTTAGAATATATTAGATTATTAGAATAATTAGAATAACTAAGATAAGAACTTAGATAGAATTTAATATATAAGAAAAGTTTTTTTCTTCATTTTAATTTGTTCTTATATATTACATCCTAGTTATATAAATTATTTAAATAAAAAGTAAAGTTCTAAAAAAAAATTGAAATTTTTTATGATAACCCTATATTATATATATTATATATATTAGTATCCTTATAAAAAAAGTAAAAAAGTAAAGAAACTTGAATTTTTACTAAAACAATTTAGACAACTAAAATAAATAATTAAATTCTCTTTTATTTTCTATTT